TCAAAGCTAGCCAGAGCAGGAAAGTCCATGAGACTTTTATGATGCTTATTTCCAATTAACCAGCAAAAAGCTAGAAGTAGAGGTGTCACTCAAGTGGTAGAACACTAGCCTTGAACAAAAAAGCTGAGAGACAGTACCCAGGACCTGAGTTTGAACCCTAGATTGGCACCAATATGCGTGTGCATGTGCACATGTGCAATTTATACTGACAAAGCAAAGAAATTCAACAGTAGGCCTTAAATACATTACTTATACAGTATGTTACAAAAAACTAACAATAGTAATTTAGAATTATAAAAATACAAGTTAAATCTGAACTTCTAAAGTTCCACTACAGCACAGCATAACATCTATACAGAAATTAACTTTGATAATCATTAGAGGTTTCAAAACATTAATATTCTGCACCAACTTTCTTAAACATTAAAGGCTAAAGACACTACATATAGTAGAACTGAAATCAGACACAAGCTTTCTTCTAGACTTACTATTTTTTGGGGGGGAGGGTTGGGGGGGCCAGTCATAGGGCCCGAATTCTGGGCCTGGGCACTGTCCCTCAGCTCTTCAGCTCAAGGCTAGCGCTCTCTCTACCACTTGAGCCACAGCGCCACTTCTGGCTTTTTCTGCTTATGTGGTGCTGAGGAATCAAACCCAGGGCCTCATACATGCAAGACAAGCACTCTTACCACTGAGCCACCTACCCAACTAGACCACTATTTTTGTTTAGAGTTCACAAAAAGAATTCATATCTAACTGCATTCTACCCTTTTCTCCCTCCAAATAAACCCTATTAAGTCCTTGGATAATAGGAAATAATGTATTAATGTAAAGAGACTGAAAACTTGATTATATAGTCTAAGTGGTAGGTATATGGGTACTGACTCACAATTCTTTCAAGTTTACTATGCCTGGATTTTTTTCATATTAAGATTTTAGTGAAAAAAAAAGATTTTTTGGGGGGAGGGTGAGTAGCGGTGGAGGTGGGAGGGAAGGGATGGTAGGGGGAAAAACAAAGGAGGAGGCAACAATGTTCAATAGGAAATGTAATCATTACCTTGCTCATGTAACGGTAACCCCTCTGTAAAACATTTTTACAATAAAAAATGCACAAAGAAAGATTTTTTTCCTGATGTCAATGTGCTAATAACTGTACTGTAACAGGATTCCTGCTAAGGCAACTTGCTAAGTTACCTGGTGAGGAAGAAATGGAAGCAGGAAGTACTTAAACATCAAGTGACTAATACAGGAGAGAACATTATAAAACATGAACTGAGGACTTCTAAAAACGATTTCCCAGTACTCATCCATTTAGCCTAATCCCAAACTTCTACTGAGACTGTCATTCAAAATGCTTGTTTACTGTGGTGTTAGGGATCAAACTCAAGACCTTAAGAATGCAAAGCAAGCATTCCATCAACCTGGGCATCATCTTGAACCTTTTTTTTCCTCAAGGCTAGCACTCTACCACTTTGAGCCACAGCTCTACTTCAAGCTTTTTGGTAGTTAATTTGAGATAAGTGTTTCATAAGTGTTTCTGCCTGGGGCTCCTTTGAACTATAACCCTCAGATTTAACCTCTTGAGTAAGCTAGGACCACAGACATGAGCCATAGGCATCTAGCTTAATATTTTTAAAAAAAATATTATGTATAATTTTATGATCTGAGTTAAATTTAAATTTGGAAACTAGTCAGTGCAGAATTCAAGTATATTTCTAACAGGTAAAAAATAAGAAGCCCATGCCACAAACACACACACACAGAATTCATGAAGAGCACATCTCACTGTTCTGTGGAAATAAATGTATATTTCTATAAGGATGATGTCACAGGAGATGTTTATCAGGCTCAACTGAAAAACTCCTGGACAGCACTAAGTTAGACACAGTTGGGGCTGGGAAAGTGGCTCAGTGGTAGAGTGCTTGTCTTGCATGCATGAGGCCCTGGGTTTGATTCCTTAGCACCACATAAGCAGAAAAAGCCGGAAGTTGCACTGTGGCAAGCATTCTACCACTAAGTCACCTTCTCAGTCCAATATAGCTTATTTTATTTAAAACAAAATTTTGGTATGAATAAGTACATATCTAGGCTTTTTTGATGAAATTCACCACACGTTGTCCCTTACATTATCACAGCTCACCTGTTAGTAAAAGTACATTTCAGCTGGATGTTGGTGGCTCATGCCTATAATCCCAGCTACTCATGAGACTGAGGATCTCGGTTCAAAGCCAGCCCTGGCAGGAAAGTCCATGAGACTCTAATCTCCAATTATAACTCCCAGAAAACTGGAAGTAGTGCTGTGGTTCAAAGTGGCAGAGCACTAACCTTGGGTGAAAAGCTCAGACACCATGCCCAGACCCCGAGTTCAAGCTCCACAACTTTGGGGGAGGGACACAGGGTACATTTCACCTCTTATCACTTAACCCTTCTCAATATAAATGTCAAATACTGAAAGACATACAATACTATTAAAACAGACTGATACTTAAAAAACTGTCTGGAAAACAGAAAGCGAAAAACAGTTTTTGGTATTTTTTTTTTTGGTTGGACATAGGGCTTGAACTCTGGGCACTGTCCCTCAGCTCTTCAGCTCAAGGCAAGCGCTCTACCACTTCAGCCAGGGCACTGTCCCTCAGCTCTTCAGCTCAAGGCAAGCACTCTACTTCAGTCATGCACCACTTCCAGTCTTATGGTTTATTGGAGATAAGAGTCTCACAAACTTTCCTGCCTGGGCTGGCTTTGAACCATGATCTTTAGGTCTCAGCCTCCTAAGTAGCTAGGATTACTGGCATGAGCCACCGGCGCCTGGCTTCCAAAACCAGTTTTTATGGCTTAGTGGTAGAGTACTTGCCTAGCATGCATGAAGCCCTGGGTTCAATTCCTCAATACCACATAAACAGAAAATGCCGGAGAAGGTGCTGCAGTTCAAGTGGTAGAGTGCTAGCCGTGAGCAAAAGAAGCTAGGGACAATGCCTAGGTCCTGAGTTCAAGCCCCAGGATTGCCCCCCCACAAAAAAAAGCTTTTATGTCCAATGCTTTTGCCTACTGCCCATAGTAACAGCAGCAATAATAATCACGAGTAAAGCACTTGCCTAGCATATAGCAGCCATGGGTTCAATCTTCAAAACAAAATAAAATGATAGCTAGCATTCTGCAAGGGGCTTCTTAATAGTCACCACTTGTTGCACCTTGTTAAACTTCCTCTTGTTTTACCGCTCTCTTCAAGATGAGTGGTATGTTCAGGTTACCCCAGAAGTTAAATCTCAGTGGGGTAGAGATCTAGATCCCACAGTAGGTACACAAAAAGTACTTGACTATGCAAGAAAACCTAAACAAAGAGGCTCTGGGTTCCATCACTAGCACCCAGAAAAATAAAATACAAATTTAGCAGTTCGTGATCTGCCATTGTTAAGTATACTAAATAAACTACATGTATCTATTGTGCTTACTGAATTAGTCTTAGGAGTTTTCACTTGTATACTATAACTTAGTATGAAATGAGCAACAATTTAATTTTTTAAAGTATAGTACTTCATTTTCCAAGCAAGTTAGAAACATTCCTAAAGCAAGGAATGAGTCTTCATTTAACAATGTGAAATGATAAAAACGTTACTGAAATTAGCCCGTTGATTTACCTATCTCATCAACTACCTGACCTCCTCCCCGACCAAAGTAAAGCTTTATCTTTTAAAAAGCTAAAAAAGGAAGCATAGACCTAGTCCTAAGTAAAGGAAACTCTAGAATTTTCAGCTACACTCACAGAGCCATGTTTGTAATCTTTCGAATTTGAGACAAATCCTATGAACTGGCAGCTTACCTTGCCAAAAAAAAAAAGAAAAAAAAATCAGTCTGTCCATCTTGCTTCTGAACTATTTATGGAAACAATTCTAATGTCTAATGTAGAACCACGTAAATAAATAGAAAATCCACAACGCATTTAGAAGCATAAAGAAATCAGTCCCAATGACAAGTCTGGAGAGGAGAGTCACCCAAAGTTAAGTGATTCCAAAACTCTTCCTTCCCTGACTCAAATTGAAAATGTACATGCAGTCTGAATTAATTCTCCCAGCTTCCTGGATAACACTAATCTACACACACACAACGCTCAGACACACAATTTTGCTCAGATTACACTAAGATTCTTGTTCCTATGGGAGGAAAAAAAAAAAAACAGCATAAGACAAGTCTTGTTTTCTTGCAGAACCAGTAACCACCACGGACAGTAACGAAAAGAAACGCCTTGAGTCAAAAGCAGCCAATTCTGCTACAGCCAAACCTAATGTATCAAGCAAAGGCTAATTCGGTTTTTGTTAAACACACCAAGTTCAAAGAAAAGAACATTCTCCATCACATCCATCTTACAGCCAACACTTTTAGAACTTTCGCCAGGCAACGTGCGAAAAACGATCATTTTAAAAGACCCTAAAAGTAGCGAAGTACACAAGTAGAAACAATTTTGGTCACACCTAAGTTTCGGAGTCCACACACACACAAAGTGGCCCTTGCGAGCATGCATCGAATGGAATCGACTCGGCCGCCCTAACCCGTCCCAGTTCTCGGGAACTCCGGAGGTTAATGCACAAACCAAAGATACCCCCTTTCAAAAAAAATACATATATATATTTATATATATGGAGAGAGAGAGAGAGAAATAATGGCGGGGGGAGGACGGAGACACGCAAAAACCCCCAAGCCCGCTATATCTAGTTGCTTTCGAGGGCGGTGTCCAGCCCGGGAAGAAAGCGAAGAGGGTGGAGTTCACTTTTCCCTCCGGCCGCTCAGGAGGCCCTCCTCCCCCACCAAAAAGCCGGAACCAGGCCCGCACCACCGGCCTGGGAGCGTGGTGAGGCCCGCGCCCCCTCGAGGAAAGCCGGCCCGCGGTCTACGAGAGCCCGTGGCGTCTCTGGCCTAGGTAGGCCCGAGTCCCTCCCGCCTCCGTCCCGACCCGTCCCGACCCCCGCCCGCCCCCGGCCAGGCCCGGCCGCGCACTCGCTCTCACTCACCCGTCTCCCACCACCACACACTTGATGGCCTGCATCGGGGCCGCTCGCTGGGCCGCAGCGGCGGCGGCCGGGTAAGAAAAGATGGAATAGGCAGGCAGGCGCGCGGCTGTGGGCGGCAGAGCGCGAGGTGCCGGGGCCGCTGTCCACGCCGACTAGCCCTTGGTGGACTGGAAGCCGAAGCCTCACAGCAGCCACCACCCAAAGCTGAGGAAAACTGCAGAGAAACAGGAAATGGCCGCTCCACTCACATCCGGCCTCCCCTCCCCTCCCCCCTGCGTCGGCGCCGCCGCTCCCAGGCTCGGGGCGGGGCTTGTCTCGCCCAGCTCCTGCGCGCCCGCGTGCGCGCGCGCGTCCTGGCTGATTCTGCTGGGCCCCGGGCACGCGCTGCGGCGCGCTCCGGGAGCGCGCCAGGCTTCGACCGCGGGGCGAGGAGGTTGCCATATTTGCGCGCTGGAGCGGCTCAGGTTTGGATTCCAGAAGCCGCACTTGGGATCTATTGACAACTCCTGCCAAGAACGTTGTTCCCTTTTTTTTTTTTGTCTTTTTCTCTTTTTATTACTATCAGTTTTATGTGATAGCGACAGTTTATGCCATGACGTCGAGTCTTCTTAGAAACTGTGATTTTAGAACTAAAACTATAAGGGAGAACTAAAGTATAACTATATATTAATATTAAAAGTATGGAAAAATTGGGGCTGGGAAGGTGGCTCAGTGGTAGAGCGCTTGCCTTGCATGCATGAGGCCCTGGGTTCGATTCCTCAGCACCACATAAGCAAAAAGAAAAAAGCTGGAAGTGGCGCTGTGGCTCAAGTGGTAGAGCGCTAGCCTTGAGCTGAAGAGCTGAGGGACAGCGCGTAGGCCCCACGACCGACAAAGGAAAAAAAAGTAAAAAGAAAAATGAAAAAAAAAAAAGAGAGAGAAAGAGCCAATGAGAAGACTAAAGGGCTGGAGCCCCTGGCTCACGCCTGAGGATCACGGTTCAAATCTGAGGATCACGGTTCAAAACCAACCCGGTAGAAAAGTCCTGAGACTCTTATTTCCAATTAACCACTAGAAAACCGGACGTGGCGCTGTGGCTCAAGCGGTAAAGCACTGGCCTTGAGCTGAAGAGCGCAGAGTTCAAAGCAAGGAACTTGCAGGGTATCTTCCCAGAGTACAGGAGTATACTTACTTAGGGGAAGTGCCCGACCAGCCCCCACCCCAGCAGGTTTAACATCCTTAAGAAACTCCAAACAATGCGAACAAATAAGCTCCTACCAACTTCCAGAGAGAAAACACAAGTGGAGGAAATAAGAAGTAGAATGGCTTTCTTTGGGTTTCTCAGTTAAGTGACAATGTCATCAAAATTCTACCCAGAGCCAAAACTATTGATCAAGTAGGCGAGTAAAATAACAAGAACATTTTCAGACAAATTAAGTGCTCAAGAAGTTGTACCTCCCACTTACATGTCCCAGGAAACTACTGGGACATATGTTCCTCCAGCAGGAACAAGTAAACCAAAGAAGCTATGAGAGGCAGAATCTAGGGCTCAAACAAAGAAGACAGGAATAGGGTCCTCCACCCCAGATCGTGGTGATGTATGACCAGGCCACACTGGAAATTTTGTAGGCTTCAACCCACACAGGCTCTGTGTCCAGGGCTACTTCTTTTTGTTGACCACCAGCTCTGCTCCACCAACAGAGGGGGAAGGGACAACACAGAGAAAATAAGGGTAAGACAACAGAGAATTGTGATCTCTACTTTATGGGCACTAGCCTAAATTGGGAATGTGCAACAGACTGGTAGCTCAAGCCTTAATCCTAGCTACTTAAAAAGCATACATAGAGGATCCAAGTTTGAAGTCAGCCTAGGCAAAAAGGTTAATGAGACTTCCTTTATCTAACCTCTACATCTCAACCAACAGAGAGAAAATTGTGGTGTATATCTGTAATCCCAGCTACTCAAAAGGTATAAGTCAGCTAGACACTGGTGGCTCATGCCAGAATTCCTACCTAGGCAGGAGCCTGAGATCTAAAGATACCAGTTCAAATCCAGCCAGGGGAGGAAAGTTCGTGAGACTCTTACCTCTAATTAACTACTAGAAAACTGGAAGCGGTTCTGTGGTTCAAAGTGATAGAATGTTAGGTTTGTGAAAAAGCTCAGGGACAGCCCCCATGCCCTGAGTTCAAGCCTCATGACTGACAAAAAGAAAAGAAAAAAAAAGCCATAGGTAAGAGGATTGTGGTCAGAGGTTAGTCTGAATAAAAAGCCCAAGAACCTATCTGAAAAGTAACTAAAATGAAGACAAACACTGTAATTCTAGATAATCAGGAAGCTGAAATCTGAGGATCACAGTTTGAAGCCAGCTCAGGCAGAAAAGTTCATGAGACTCATCTCCAACTAACCAGCAGAAAGCAGAAAATGGAGCTATAGAAAACAAAAAAACAAAACAAAACAAAACAAAAAAGCCCAAAGCCAGCCCAACAGGAAAACCCATGAGACACTTATCTCCAATTAACTACCAAGAAACTGGATGGAAATGGCTCTGTGGCTCAAGTGGTAGAGTGCTTGCCTTGAGCTGAAGAACTCAGGGACAGCACCCAGGTCCAGAGTTCAAGCCCCAGGAGCAATAAGAAAAAAAAAAAAAGGTCATATTCTCATATGTTCCCATAATGTCTGTCTTCCTGTGCGTTTGTAACTGATTTTAATATTGCTACATAATGTAATGGGATTATTTAAAAATCCAGTTCTTACTATATTTTCCATTCTGGCCTCAAACTCCTGGGCTCAAGTGATTCTCTTGCCTGAGCCCCCTGTGTAGCTGATATTACAGGTGTATTCCACTAGGCCCTGCTACAATCCAGCTGGTTATTTCTAGTGCCACAGGTGACTACTGCAAGATGGATAGAGGTAGAAATGCTGATAAGAGAGAAAGACATATATATATATATATACATATATATATGCATGCACATATATATATGCATGCACATATATATATACATATATATATGTATATATATATAAGAGAGAGAGAGAAATGAGTTATGTTCACAGGAACAAGGGAAAATCTAAAGAAAAATTGAGTAACTAGGACTTGGGAAGATTAGGGACCCTCAAAGATCCAGTCCGGTTGAGAATGATTTCACTTGCCTCAGGGTCCCTGACACACCCCTCCCCACTCCAATTTGGTTTCCATTCCTGATGAAGGGGGCCAGGGAATCTTCTTTGTTTGGTCTGATCCCCTGCCTACCCACTGGGGAAGAGAGAAAACTCAGTGACTCATAGACACACACACACGCATACACACTCGCACGCACACAAAATGGGGTAGAGGAAGTCCTTTCAAGAGATGGGAAGTTGTGGCTGGGCAAACCAAACCAAAAGAGAGCTCTTCAATCCCTAGGATTAACTTCAGTGCAAATGACAGAGCCCCAAAGAAACAATGGCTTCAACAAGATCCAAATTTGTTTCTCTTGGGTTAAAACTCAGAGGTAAGAAATTCAAGCTGCTAATAGGGTGCCTGTGGCTCACGCCTGTAATCCTAGCTACTCAGGAGGCTGAGATCTGAAGATCACAGTTCAAAGCCAGCATGGGCAGGAAAATTCCATGAGACTCTTATCTCTAATAAACCATTCAGAAAACCAGAAGTGGCGCTGTGGCTCAAGTGGTAGAGTGCTTGCCTTGAGCTGAAGAACTCAGGGACAGCACCCAGGACCAGAGTTCAAGCCCCACAACCGACAAAAGGAAAAAAGAAAAAGAAATTCAAGCTGCTAGTTGGGCGCTAGTGGCTCATTCCTGTAATCCTAGCTATTCAGGAAGCTGAGATATGAGGATCGTGGCTCAAAGCCAGCCTGGGCAAGAAAGTCCATGAGATTTTTTTTTTTTTTGGTAGGTCGTGGGGCTTGAACTCTGGGCCTGGGTGCTGTCCCCAAGCTCTTCAGCTCAAGGTGAGTGCTCTACCGCTTGAGCCACAGTGCCATTTTCGGTTTTCTGAGTACTTTATTGGAGGTTAGAGTCTCACAGACTTTCCTGCCTGGGCTGGTTTTGAACCACAATCCTCAGATCTCAGTCTCCTGAGTAGCTAGGATTACAGGTGTGAGCCACCAGCACCTGGCTTCCATGAGACTCCTATCTCCCATAAACCACCAGAAAACTGGAAGTGGCATGGTGGCTCAAACGGTAAAGCACTGGCCTTGAGCTGAAGAGCTGAGGGACAGTGCCCAGGCCCAGAGTTCAAGCCCCACAACCAACAAAGAAAAAAAGAAAGAAATTCAAGCTGCTACCTGGTTCCTCTCCAAGGTTCTCAGGACCTAGCTCCTTCCTTTTGAGTCAGTAGAGGGTTTAGTTCAGCTATATATGTCCCATGGAGAAATAGAGAGGAAAGTGGTCAAGAGAGTGGGCTAAGTGTGTCTTCAACTTCTTAGATCTCATTGGCCACATATGTGGTCTCATGACCATACTGAGCTGCAGGGCAGTCTGGGAAATGCCTCCCCTCGTGAATTTTATTACCCTAAAAGGAATGCCCAAACAACGGTAAGTCAAAGAACAATTCCTTCCATATCCTCTATGCACCATCTGGTTACATGTCTCTTCAAACATTGAATTTTTTTCATGCTTTATTAATATTCCATATTAATTGTATAAAATGATGGATTTCCTTGTGGCTCTTTCTGGTGTTAGCCCTGGGGCTTGAACTCAGGCTGGGCCGGGGTGCAGTCTCTTAGGTGGTTTTTTTTCTTTTTTTGGTCGGTCGTGGGGCTTGAACTCTGGGCTTGAGCGCTATCAGTGCACTCTTCAGCTCAAGGTGAGCGCTATACCGCTTGAGCCACAGCACCACTTCTGGTTTTCTACCGGTTTATTGGAGATAAGAGTCTCATGGACTTTCCTGCCCTGGCTGGCTTTGAACCGACATCCTCAGATCTCAGCCTCCTGAGTAGCTAGGATTACAGGAGTGAGCCACCGGCACCTGGCTTTCTTAGGTGTTTTTTTGTTTGTTTGTCGGTCGTGGGGCCTGAACTCTGGACCTGGGCGCTGTCCCTCAGCTCTTCAGCTCAAGGCTATCCCTCTACCACTTGAGCCACAGCACCACTTCTGGCTTTTTCTGCTTATGTGGTGCTGAGGAATTGAACCCAGGGTCTCATGCATGCAAGGCAAGCACTCTGCTACTGAACTACCTTCCCAGTCCGTTTTGTTTGTTTTTGCTGAAGAGTAGCTAATTCTACTACTTGAACCACAGTTCCATTTCTGGCTTTTTGGGGGTGCTTAATTGGAGATAATAGTTTCACAGACTTTCCTGCCCTGGCTGGCTTTGAACTGCAATCCTCACATCTTGGCCTCCTGAGTAGCTAAGATTACAGGAGTGAGCCATCAGTGCATAGCTCAAAGTAGTTTTGATCTGCATGTCTCTGATGGTCAAGGATATTAGACACTTTTTATGCATTTATTGGCCATTTGCTCTT